AAAAGGTAAGGCACAGGAAGGAAGTAGGATAATTGTTGCACAGGGAGGGAATTATGATCATTGAGATGAAACAAAGCATATAATTTGTTGAATGTAAAGTTGTTGTTATTTGTTGAATTTAATTTGTTAAATGTAAAGTTGATGATCTTGTCTGTCAACCTTCACTCAATTTACAATAAAAAGTTAAAAAAAAAAGAGAGAGAGAAAGCAGCATGAAGCAACTCAGAAATTATGCATTATCAAAATTTTCAACTTTTCTGCTTTGAAAGACACTATTAAAATAGTGAAAAAAGAATGCATAGGATTGGAGAAAATATCAACAGTCATATATTTGAAAAGATATCCATATTTAGCACATACAAAAAACTCTTACAGTTCAACAATAAGGGAAAATAATTAAGTTAAAGATGGGCAAATAATTTGAACAGACAATTTTCCAATGAAGATATATAAATGCCTAGGAAATCCATGAAAAGATGTGCAACATCATTAGGGAAATACTATTCAGAACCACAGACAGATACGCTAGATTACTATGGTAAAAAGTAACAATCAAAAATACTAGAGAGAATGTGGAGGAACTGAAATCTTCACACATTGCTGGTGAAGATGGTGCAGCACTTTGGGAAACAGTTCCTCAGAGTTATTATATGACCAAACAAATCTACTCCGAGGCATATATACAAAAGAAATGAAAACACACATCCATATAAAAGCCTTGACACAAATGTTCACAGCAATATTATTCATAAAAGCAAAAAAAAAAATTCCATAACTAATGAATAAATAGAACATACAATATTCATACAAAGGAATATTATTCAACCACAAAAAGGAATGGAACACTTATACATGCTACAACATTGATGGATCTTGAAAACATTACACTAAGGGAAAGAAGTCAGTCACAAAAGACCACATATTGTGCGACTCCATTTATATAAAATGTCCAACACAAGCAAATCCATGAAGACATATATCAGACAAGTGTTTGCACGGCCTAGAGAAACTGGGTATGGGGGAGTGAAGTTTCTAAGGGGTATGAAGTTTCTTTGGAGGATAATGAAAATATCCTGGAATTAGATAGCGGTGAAGGTATCACAATTTGGTAGTTATATTAAAATCACTGCATTTTATACTTCATAAGGGTGAAATTTATGATATGTACAATACACTCAATTTAAAAGATAGAGAACATACTATGATGTCATAAAGATCAGATTTTCAATTTTCATTTTATTATTCACTAGCTGTTTAACTTAACAGTCTCTTTCTTGGTTTCAGTTTTATGTTCACATTATAAAATTAAGGGCAAACATACTTTCTTTAGAATTCTCAAAATGATTAAGTAATACAGTTTTATTAAAAATTCTAGTATATGTTCCGGTATACACTAAGTATTCAGTAATTATCCATGCTCATATCCTATTATTTTCCTTCTTTTTCAAAACTCCCAACTGTCTATTAATTTCTATAGTCACCTTTCCTTTTTATTATAAGCCATTATATTTCCTAAGAACTTTTCATCTCCCAAACAGTATCTCTACTATGAAGATAAGAAGTCATGCTTTTCTACCATGAAGAGGAAAACATTCAAAAATTTCAAAGAAGAAAACTATGAAATAAGATTTTGTTTAGAACTGATAAACTTCAAAATGTCAAGAAGAGTTCTTATATCAAAATCAATTGCATGGTAATAATATTCCAACAATAATACTTCCAGTGTTTGAGAACTAACTTTCTTCTAGGAAGTCAATTCCACTTTAAGTTAACTATAATGAAAATATTTATTTATAAGTGTAGGTCCTTACTGCTGTATCTGCCAGCATGTTTTAGAAATGTCTTCATAATTATATGCCTATATATGTTATAAGGAGCTCTGGTAGCGTAGTGGTTACGAATTGGGCTGTGAACCTTAAGGCCAGCAGTTCGAAACTACCAGCTGTTCCGCAGGAGAAAGATGAGGCGTTCTGCTCCCGTAAAGATTTATAGCCTCAGAAACTCTGTACAGGGTCACTATGGGTCGGAAACGACTTGACA